ATACCTGCTCTTTAAGGGCGCTTAGAGCCAAGCTCTGGTTAAGACCTGTTTTAAGGAACGCTAGAATGTGAGGCACAGAGTTATTTCAGAGTGAATTAACTACATTTACACCAGGCAAAATAAGATATCCAGGCATAATAGATCTTCCGGAAAGTAGTTTTTCCTTCTTCCAGCAGGGTAGGAATCACAGACTCTTATCCCTCTACAGGTGAAACTCGAAAAAATTAGAATATCTTGCAAAAGTTCATTTATTTCAGTAATGCAACTTAAAAGGTGAAACTAATATATGAGATAGACTCATTACATGCAAAGTAAGATAGTTCATGCCGTGATTTGTCATAATTGAGATAAGTATGGCTTACAGCTCCTGAACACCCCAAATCCACAATCTCAGAAAATTAAAATATTGTGAAAAGGTGCAATATTCTAGGCTCAAAGTGTCCCACTCTAATCAGCTAATTAAGCCATAACACCTGCAAAGGGTTCCTGAGCCTTTAAATGGTCTCTCAGTCTGGTTCAGTAGGAATCACAATCATGGGAAAGACTGTTGACCTGACAGTTGTGCAGAAAACCATCACTGACACCCTCCATAAGGAGGGAAAGCCTCAAAAGGTAATTGCAAAAGACGTTGGATGTTCCCAAAGTGCTGTATCAAAGCACATTAATAGAAAGTTATGTGGAAGGGAAAAGTGTGAAAGAAAAAGGTGCAAAAGCAGCAGGGATGACCGCAGCCTGGAGAGGATTGTCAGGAAAAGGCCATTCAAAAATGTTGGGGACTTTCACAAGGAGTGGACGGAGGCTGGAGTCAGTGCATCAAGAGCCACCACACACAGACGGATCCTGGACATGGGCTTCAAATGTCGTATTCCTCTTGTCAAGCCGCTCCTGAACAACAAACATCAGAAGCATCTTACCTGTGCTAAAGAAATACAGACCTCGTCTATTGCTCAGTGGTCCAAAGTCCTCTTTTCTGATGAGAGCAACTTTGGGTCCTTGGTTTCCAAATGAGATGCAAGAGTATGGAGGAAGAATGGAGAGGAACACACTGCAAGATGCTTGAAGTCGAGTATGAAGTTTCCAGTCTGTGTTGATTTGGGGAGCCATGTCATCTGCTGGTGTTGGTCCACTGTGCTTCATTAAGTCCAGAGTCAACGCAGCCGTCTACCAGGAGATTTTGGAGCACTTCATGCTTCCTTCCGCAGACGAGCTTTATGGGGATGCCGATTTCATTTTCCAGCAGGACTTGGCACCTGCCCACACTGCCAAAAGCACCAAAACCTGGTTCAATGACCATGGGATTACTGTGCTTGATTGGCCAGCAAACACGCCTGACCTGAACCCCACAGAGAATCTATGGAGCATTGCCAAGAGAAAGATGAGAGACATGAGACCGAACAATGCAGAAGCGCTGAAGGCCGCTATTGAAGCATCCTGGTCTTCCATAACACCTCAGCAGTGCCACAGGCTGATAGCTTCCATGCCACGCCGCATTGAGGCAGTAATTGCTGCAAAAGGGGCCCAAACCAAATACTGTGTACATATGCATGCTTATACTTTTCAGAGGTCCGATATTGTTCTATGTACAATCCTTGTTTTATTGATTGCATGTAATATTCTAATTTTCTGAGATTGTGGATTTGGGGTTTTCATGAGCTGTAAGCCATAATCATCACAATTATGACAAATCGCGGCTTGAACTATCTTGCTTTGCATGTAATGAGTCCATCTCATATATTAGTTTCACCTTTTAAGTTGCATTACTGAAATAAATGAAACTTTTGCATGATATTCTAATTTTTCGAGTTTCACCTGTATTAAGACTTGGGTTTTAGCAGTTAAAGCCAGACTGGGAAGAGGAATGAAATCGAGGACCTTGAGATAGCAGATCTGGCCGATTGGGAAGGTGTCTAGTGTTGTCTGCTAGAAGGCTGAGTTTGTCTGTGTAATAGGTTTTTCTGGGCCAGTTTAGTGCAATTGGAATCACCACTTTTCTCTCAATCTATTTTTTGGAGCAGCCGTGGCAGAATTTGCACTGGATGGAAGGCATAAATTAGCATGAACTGAGACCAGGAGATTATTAGGAAACCTACATGAAGGTCTTTTGTAGCTACCCCAGCTGCAACAGAAGTCTCGTTCCACCTGGATTCCTGTCTCCCGAAGCGCCTGCTTCCCCCACCCAGCGCAAAGCACAGCCATGCTACACATACCTCCCTGTCTGGCACCACCTTATATGTCGCAGTAGTGTCCCTAAAAGACATCTCTTCAAACAGCCCCATTGGTATACATTTGGCTGAGCAGACCCTGTTGTCCTTCCTTCAACAGCTCCCCAACAGAGCTGACTGAGGCCCTGGCAACCCGGGTTGAATCTGCCCTACGGGGAGAATTGCAAGGCCTCCGGCAGGAAGTCTCTGCTACTGACTCTAGAGTAGAGGGGTTAGAAAGTGACCAAGGGGTTATCGTGCAAACGGATACCCTACAATCCGCACATACAGACTTAGCCAACAAAGTTACACAAGTGCACCTGCTCCTTGACGACCTAGAGAACCGGAGCCGCAGACAATACATCAGGCTGATGGGTATTACAGAATCCGTTATGCAGATGGACCTGCGTGCACGTCTCTACTATTTTCAACAGATACCGGGACCAACTCCCTGACACAGGTCATGATTGACCGGGTTCATCAGATTGGAGGCCAGGGCCCTACCTCCTCTGAGAGGCCATGTGATGTACTATGCCGTCTACATTCCCACGGACTCAAAAAATAAATCTTACAACAGGCCTGGAGAGTGGAGGTGCTGGAGTGTGATGCTCCGATCCATCTTCTCCTGGTTATCTCCAAGAAGACCCTGCTAATGTGCAGAGCCCTGAAGCCACTACTGGAGCAAATCTTTGAACAAGGGATGACATACAAGTAGGGCCATCCCTTTCATCTGATATTACGCAACGGTAACCATACCTTCATCTTGTGCTACCCATCTGACATGCCTGACTTACACACCTTTGTGGACATGGAACCTTGGCCAGTTCCTAACTGGCTTACCATCCCCTCTTCCATGGATTCGGCGGCGCAGACAGTCCAAGGTAGACTGTAAAGGGTACATGGCAACAGTCACTCCCAGAGGAACAGACAACCTGACGCCCATCAAGAGGGACAACACTGACAACTCCCTGACCAGCTTACAAAGCCTGCCAGGCTCTGGCTCGGAACAATCCTACTGGCCTTATACCATGCATACTACTATATCCTACACGGGACCTAAGGGAATGTGGACTCCAGGGGTGGTCATTGATATAAGGCTACAACCGTTGCCTTTCAAATAATGATTTGCAACTTGTTTATATGTTGTGTGTTTTTTGAAAAAAAAATTTTCTATGTGTTTCTACGACAGCGTACTTATACCTATTATTTACCTAACTGCTACTGCAATCTCATAGCTGGGATATAAATATTGCATACAGCCATTGGGATTGAGGGCCACCTTGTTATGGAACCTTTATTAGGCTTATGCTTAAAGACAACCTTATCTGTGATTGCGCTCTGTTGGAGGCCATCTGCTTCTCTTCCTATTCCCTATTCAGCCCTGTGGGTCTCCACTAATTCTCAAATTTATGATTACCATGGGAGGAACGCAGTGTCACATAGTGCACCTTCCCCCAATTCTATGAGACCTCAGGTCGACTATGCACGAAGTGCTACTGTCTTGCTGTCAGTTGTGTTACGATGATGTTTTCTAGAGTGAAGTCTCGTGGAACGTAGTGAGGCTAAATTCTCCGGAGAAACTAACTAGTTGTCTCACTAAATTGCGGAGACTGAAGGCCCATATTGTTTTCCTCCAAGAGACTCACTTCAGGACTGACAAGATCCCTAAACTATACAAAAAAAAAAAAAAAAAAAAAAAAAAAAACTTTCCTACGGTCTACCATAGCCCTTCTCCGTCTTCCAAATCAAAAGGGACAAGTATCTTGATTGCAAAATCTACCCCCTGGCAACTCCAGTATGTGCTCCGAGATCCAGAGGGCAGGTTTCTCCTGCTCAAGGGAAAGCTTTACTGCCAGATGTTCACTCTGGTGACCGTATATTTACTAAACACTGATCGACTGCCAGCCCTGGAAGCATTTCTTACTACTCTTGATTCTTTCCTAGAGGGTACTCTCATATTAGGGGGAGGCTTCAACATAACCATTGACCCTCAAAGGCTCCTTGGCTGGCTCCACTTTTATTTCTAGACGTCTCCGAATATGCCTCAAGGACCTCATCCACTCCCAACAGCTGGTCAACATTTGGAGGATCTTTCATTCTAGGGAGCGAGACTACACTTTTTCACCTTCCAATGGTTCTTATTCCAGAACCGACTTTTTTCTTATTCTTGGTCAGCGGTCCTCCTGAACTTGACCCCTCTTTTAGGAAAAAATACCATAAATCCCTGCTTAAGCACCTAATCAAAGAGCTTGTATCCCTGCAATGTGGATGAAACAAACAATCTCCACCGACCCTAGCCCAATGGTTCGCCAGAGTGAACGATATAGAGAGCATGGAGCATCTGACCTCTGCCATCCAAGAATCCTTTATTTGTGACTTTATAATCAAAAAAAAAAAAAAGGTTTCCTGATCAATACTTTAAGCCTGAAGTTGGGCTGGTGCCTGAAAGCCTGTTGTAATATTTATTTCAGTGTTTCGTCCTCTATTATGATGGGTTGCAAATCTTTGTTTCTTATCCCTTCTAGTGCTGGATTGTAAAATGGTCATTACAGTTTTAGTGTTTTAATACTAGCTTCATAGCACAAGGAAAGAGGAAGAGCAAGACATGAGGCAAACCAAAACAGTGCATATAATTTTAGTTTACCCCATTTAAAAAATGCTGGTGCCTTCCTAGAAGGGTTGGGATTTAAACGCAGAGAACACAAAAAACAGTGTTCAAAAGTGAACTGGAATGTGATGTGTTGCACTGCAAACTGTTCATAGCTAAAACACAATCTTGGACCACTGTCTATTACTTACCGATAGTTTCTCAACATCTCCTTTTAAGACTCGTTCTAAATACAGTTGTTTAAGTTCTCTCTCCAGGCGAGATGGAAGGCCAGGATACATTGTGGAGCCTCCAGACAGAACAATGTGCTTATAGAATTCTGGCCTGAAAATAAAAAGATAAACAAGAAATTATTACACGAGATATAAGAAAATGTGACACAAGAATGTAGCCCAACCTTTCAGCCCCATTGAAAGTACACATTTCATCATAATCACATTTCACTTAGACGTAAGGCTTGCTCAGGCAAGCTCACAGTCGTCATTTTGACACACCATTTCAAACAGAAGTTGCTTGAAAAGCATTTGGAAAACAACAAATACTATCTGGAAAATATGGAATAGACCGACAGTGATCATTAAATATAATCAGAAATAAACAAATTTGACAGACGCATAGAATTGCAGGAAAATAAGGTCTAAGCCACCCTGGCTGGGATGACTCTTCTCTGATCACTGAATGTAGTGTACACACAAAAAAACAACATCTACGTCATAATACTGCCCAAAATCAGGGAAAATGTAGAGGTTATGAGAATGAGAAGATTTATATACTTCAAACTGGGCCTATAAAGCCAAGAGTTCAGAGAATTAATGGAATGGACTTAACAGACATTACTAAACGGGAATATCTTCTACCCCATTCTTGGTCAATATTAGCATTATTCCTTTTGCCACCTGTAATTGGAAGGGAAGAGGTTAGCACTGAGCCAATCAGGTCTCCACTTCATTGTGCAGTGCTGTTGGTCTAACACAGGGAACAAGCAGGGAGCGGAGAACACACACACCCACAAAATAAAAAAATAACTAACCCAGTGACCATCGCTCTCAAGGCTGCTGGTACATAGACTGCGGTCCCACGAGCTGGAAAATCTGTGCAGGGGGGGCAGCGGAGGGTGGCATTGTTATTAAGTGACACCAAGGTGTGAGATTGACTGGTCCTTTGTTATGAGTTGGTGAGAAGGGCAGGGGTCGGACGCCGCGATCGTCACAGGAACCACTCCCTGGGTCCAGGTGTGGTTGGCTGGGGAAGTCTGCCTGCCAACGGTCTATACCTGGGATGGGGATAAGGCTGGAACAAAAAGTAATGCTCAGGACAGGATCCAATCTGCTTCTCTGGTCATGGTAAGACTTCTCCCTGATGGGGCATAGTTATGTTCCTAACACATTACCCAGTCCATATCAGTATAGAAATCCAGTATGATATTTTTCCCCATTGAGATCTGATGCATTTTCAAAGTGTTCCTTTAATTTTTTTGAGCAGTGTACACACACACACACACACACACACACACACACACACACACACAGAGTTAGGTCCATATATATTTGGACACACACAATTTTCATACTTTTGGCTCTGTATATTACCACCAGAATTAAATCAAAACAATCCAAATGAATTTGAAGTGCAGACTTTCAGCTTTAATTCAAGGGGTTGAACATAAATATCAAGTACAAATTTTAGGAACTGCAACCATTTTTAGATACAGTCCCTCCATTTTCAGGGGCTCAAATGTAATTGGACAAATTAATATAATAAAATGTTAATTTTTAATATTTTGTTGATAATCCTTTACTGGCAATGACTGCCTGAAGTCTGGAACCCATGGAAATTACCAAAGACTGGGTTTCCTCCTTTCTGATGCTTTGCCAGTCTCTACCTGCAGCTTTCTTCAGTTTTTCGTTTGTGGGTTTTTCTGTCTTTAGTTTTGCCTTCAGCAAGTGAAATGCATGCTCAATTGCGTTGAGATCAGGTGATTGACTCAGCCATTGTTAAATATTCCACTTCTTTTCTTTCAAAAGCTCCTGGGTTGCTTTTGCAGTGTGTTTTAGATCATTGTCCATCTGTGCTGTGAAGCACCGTCCAACCAACTTTGCTGCATTTGGCTGAATCTGGGCTGACGGTATCTCTCTAAACATTGCAGAACTCATCTGGCTGCTTCTGTCTCCTGTCACATCATCTATAAAACACCAATGACCCAGTGCCACTGGAAGCCATGCATGCCTATGCCATCACACTGCCTCCACCATGTTTTACAGATGACGTTGTGTGCTTTGAATCATGAGCTGTTCCAAGCATTCTCCACACTTTTTTCGTCTCCTCATTCTGGTACAGATTAATCTTAGTTTCATCCATCCAAAGAAAGCTTTTCCAGAACGGGTCTGGCTTTTTTAGATTTTTTTTGGCAAAGTCTAATCTGGCTTTTCTAGTCTTCAGGCTTATTGTAGTGAACCCTCTGTATTTGCTCTCGTGAAGTCTTCTCTTGATTGTAGACTTTGAAAATGCTACACCCACCTCCTGGAGAGTGTCCTTCACTTGTCTGGATGTTGTGAATGGGTTTTTCTTTACCATAGAGAGGATCCTGCGATCATCCACCACTGTTGTCTTCGTTAACGTCCATGCCTTTTTATGTTGCTGAGCTCACAGTGCTTTCTTCTTTCCACGGAATGTACCAAACTGTTGATTTGGCCATTCCTAATGTTGCTATCTCCCTGATGGATTTGTTTAATTTTTGATGCCAAACAATGGCCTGTTTCACTTGCATGGACAACTCCTTTGATGTAGGTTCACAGCAATCGATTCCAAATGCAAATATCACACTTAGGATCAACTCCAAAACTTTGCCTGCCTAATTGATGAAGAAATAATGGAGTAGTACACACCTGGCCATGAAACCGCTTTTGATTCAATTGTCCAGTAACTTTTGGTCCATTGAAAAAGGGGGGATGGCTAGTTGTAAGAGCTGTAATTCCTAAACCCTTCCTCCAATTTGAATGTACATACCCTCAAATTAAACCTGAGAGTGTGCACTTTCATCCCATATCAATTATATAACTATACCTTGAATATGTTTTTGTAAATACCTGGAAAAATCAAATTGTGCCAGTGTCCAAATATATATGGACCTAACTGTATCTATCTCTACATCTATCAGCAAAAAAGTTTATGAACAAGACATCCACAAACCAACCATATTTTTCTAAGATGATAAAACAGAATGTGATCAAATTTAAAGCAGGTTAATTTCTAAAAAAAAACAAACAAAAAAAACCCCCCCAAGTTCAGAGTGCCTCTGCAAGAACCTTGTGCCTGGAAGCTGCCCCAGCAGAAGACTGGACATTCACTTGGTAGAGTAAAGGACTAGGTGGCGGCCTTTCACAGCTGGGTTACAAAAGGTCCGATGCTGAGATGCCCAGGAAACTCCCCAATCTGGTTTAATGGATTATTAAAACCACAGGAGCATATTTGTTTTCTATCAAGTGATGTTGGACTTGGAAGCAGCGTGTTTCTTGTGGGGTCCCAAGCACAGAACAAATAGTGGGATCTCTCTTCCTGATCAAAACCCAATGAGGCCTACAACTCTCATGAAGAATCTTATTGTGGAATGTCTTGACCTCAGTTTTCAAGCTTGGGTTTTTAAGAAAAGAATGTTCTTCTCTGGAAAGAAAACCTTTGCTTGGGATGTGTCTAGGGCCAGGTGAAGAGAAGGCCTGAGAAGGGTGTTTTTGGAATTTTCTGCTGTGGTAAAACCTTCTCTTCCGTGGCATCTTTGAGGAATTGGTCAAGTGTCTCAAAATATGTCCTTGAAAGGGCATATATGTGAGATTTTCACAAGCATGTTCAGCTGTCTAGGCTTTGAGCCAAAAGATTCTGTGTATGTGAATGGAGATTTCTCTCATTACATGATTTAGAGCATCCTCACAAAAAAGCAGAGCAGAAGTAACTGCTGTAATATAGTGCAGCTTACCAATCATTAGAGGTCTTTGCTGCATTACTTTTCTTTTTTTTAGGATTATCCCCCCGTTTTCACCTGGTTATCTAGCTGGTTATACCCATGCCTGATGAAGGAGTCCTGTGAGACTCCGAAACGTTGCCTTGCTGTAACTATGTGATCGTTCATTAAAACTTTTGGACCCATATTGGTGATCCTGGGTGTGCTGGTGACTTCCTCCCTTCCCATATTGCATCTCGCAAATTGCAAACGGGACTTAAGGTTTTTTTTTTTTCAACAATGGCTTTCTTCTTGCCACTCTTCCATAAAAGCCAGATTTGTGCAGTGACAAATAGTTGTCTTGTGGACAGATTCTTCCACCTGAGCTGTGGATCTCTGCAGCTCCTCCAGAGTTACCATGGGCCTCTTGGCTGCTTCTCTGATTAATGCTCTCCTTGGCCAGCCTGTCAGTTTAGGTGATGGCCATGTCTTGGTAAGTTTGCAGTTGTCCCATACTCTTTCCTTTTTCGGATGATGGATTGAACAGTCCTCCTTGAGATGTTCAAAGCTTGGGATATTTTTTTTTTTTATAACCTAACCCTGCTTAAAACTTCACAACTTTTTCCCGGACCTGTCTGGTGTGTTCCTTGGCCTTCATGATGCTGTTTGTTCACTAATGTTCTCTGACAAACCTCTGAGTGCTTCACAGAACAGCTGTATTTATACTGAGATTAGATTACACATTTACACACAGGTGGACTATTTACTAATTAGGTGACTTCTAAAGGCAATTGGATTTTAGTTAGGGGTATCAAAGTAGAGAGGGGCTGAATACAAATTCACGCCACACTTTGATATTTATTTGTAAAAAATTTTGAAAACCATTTATCATTTTCCTTCCACTTTACAATTATGTGCCACTTTGGTCTATCATATATTCCCAATAAAATACATTTACGTTTTTGGTTTTAACATGACAAAATGTGAAAAAATTTCAAGGGCTATGAATACTTTTTCAAGGCACTGTATAAGAGAAACCAGCACTTAGCTGAGGAGGCAAACTGTTCTTGCTGACTCTTGGTGAAAATATTTTTACTTGCCTGGCAGTCATTTCAATCCAAAAGCAACATGAAAAATGATGTATATCAGCAGTTTATGACATTTCCTTGTCTTCAATTGTTGCCTGCTTGTTGACAGTAACTCAGCAAATATTAAAGCCAAAGACAGCTACGTTAGTATCTTCAGCAGCCACCCCAAAAATGTTTCCCAAAACAAGTTTTAATACTTCTTACTAAAAGTCATCTGTTATTTTGCCTTACATGAAAGCTAAAACAAAGCATTAGGATACAATAGTAAAATTGAACTCCGCTTAAAAAAAAAAAAAAAAAAAAAAAAAAACAAAAAATTTTTTCAAAAAATTGCTCGTTTGGTTGCATGGATACCGCCATAGCCAACGTTATATGCAGGATATATATATATTTGAGTAAACTTTGGGGTAGGGGGTGCTTGAAAAATGTTCTCTGCTGCATATCCGATTCCAGTGCCAGTGGTGTTGACCTTTTAGTGAAGAAAGAACAAAAAAACTCACCGAGTATCAATGTCAGCTGCCTGGATGGTGTTGAACAGCAACTCAGCAACGCCAACGCCTTCTACGTTGATAAGATGAGGCTGGAACAGAGCTTCTGGTGCTTCAAAGCGCTCTCCACCTACTTTAATAACCCTGCCATCTGGAAGCTGTGCAATAAAGAAAAAAAAACAAAAAAAAAAAACGAACATTTACAATGTTACCTTTTATTTCTGAAACTGCTGTGCTACTCCAGGCCTAATTAGCACAGAAAGTTTATTGTGCCCTCTGGTGTCAGAGGTACCTAGTATTTGTCCGCTCGGCAAGCTTATTGTATGTGCCCGGCAATTCTTTCAGCAACATTGTCAACAGTAAAATGGAGCTCCAGTCTCTTTGGCCATTTTTTTTAAAAAGAGCACCTGTTATTCTCTTTACTTGTACAATCAAATTAGGATACTTTTACAAGTGTAATCATTCTCTCTACTTCTAAATCTGTAATTACTCACAGGATCTTGGAAGGCAGGCAGCGGCCATTTATGATGTGGGCATCATAAATGTGCCAGTATGCACCTCCAGACCTTGTGCCTGCGCACTGTGTTGATTACAGGTTGCCATAGCAATATCAGCGTTGGCAAAAGTTCCTGCCCCTTTATTATGGCAACCTGTCAATCAATGAATCCAGCGGTGTCCAAAACACAGCGTCGGTACTTCCTCCCTTTAGATCCTATTTCTCAAAAATGGTGCCCAACTCCTCCTGATCGCGTAATTTCCAGTCTCGAAATACCGTGAGATTTCACTATTGGGCTTCCCGAGGACTGCTGAGATAGATGATACTGATATCCCAGGAGACATCAGGAACCACCTAAGGATGAAATAGCCTAGGCACCCGGGACCAAAAGTGCTGCCTGTATACAGGAATAAAAGGTAATTAACCACTTCCAGACCGGACACTTTTACCCCCTTCCTGACCAGGGCAATTTTCAGCTTTTAGCGCTATCACACTTTGAATGACAATTGCGCGGTCATGCAACACTGTACCCAAATGAATTTTTTACCATTTTTTTTTGAGATAGATAAAGCTTTATTTTGGTGGTATTTTATTCACCACTGGGATTTGTATTTTTTTTGCTATATAAATGAAATGTCCAAAAATTTTGAAAAAAACTTTTTTTAATAAAATTTTGCAAATAAATAATATTTCATCATAAATCTTAGCCAAAATTTATTCCGTTATCTTTTTAGTGAAAAAAAAAATCCAAATTCGTTTATAAGCAAAAATTATAATTTTTAAACATTTTTTTTTTACATTTTTATTTTATTTTTTGTATTATTTTTTATTTTTTTTTACATACTGTCACCCTAGCAGTACAGTGTCACCATGGTGACACTGTACTACTTGTGAGGGGTGATGAAGATTTTTTTTTTTTTTTTTTACACTGATTGCTTTTACACCCATATATGATGTAAAAGCAATCATTTCTCTTTCTCTCTGTGTGCATTCTTGCACTCATTGAGAAGAACTGAGTGAGCTGTGATTGGTCACACCTTGTCACATGGTACAAGGCTTTTGTGAATAGCCTTGTACCATGTGACCTCTGTGATCATTCACAGATTTCACACATAGTAAGCAATGATGTCAGAAGTGACATCTTGCTTACTACTTTGCATGTGATCACTGATTGGCCAATCAGTGATCACATGATCGGGACCTCGTACAGAGGTCCCGTCCGACGATCGGTGTTTCACTGTGTCCGGAGGACACAGCGGGCACCGGATCGCGGTGCTGCACGCTCCCAGGGAGCGCGCACAAGCAGGATGCGGGGAGGCCGTTTATAGACGGCCACCCGACCCTGCAGTGCCACCGTCCGGCCGTTTATATACAACGGCCGGTCGGGAAGTGGTTAAAAAAAAAAAAAAAAAAAGGATATTCACTTATAACTGTACTTTCTGATATCAGCAACATGTAAAAATGGGTGGAACTCCACTTTAATATTTCCAGCACCTTGCATATATCCATTTATGCACTTGATCCCCTTGTGAGATGAAGCTGATTAATCGATACTGAACAGAGGCAAAGAGGTACACAATCTGAAAACATGCCATTCTGCGTTACAAAATAGAACATTTATTTTATGCGAAACATGCTAAAATGAAAAAAAAAAAAAAAACACAAATAAATATAAACAGAAGAATAAAAACAAATGGTCAAAAGTTTCTTTAAACACCCCAATACTGGAAACTTTCACCCCCTTCCTGTCCAAGCCAATTTTCAGCTTTCAGTGCTCTCACAATTTGAAAAAACACTGTACACAAACAAATGTGTAAAAGGTTTTTTTTTTTTTTTTTTTTTTTTTTTACACATAGAGCTTTTGTTTGATGGTATTTAATTAACACTGGGTTTTTTATTTTTTGCTAATCAAAAAAAGACGGAATAAACGCATTTCTTAGATTTTTATTATAAAATTTTGCAATTTTTCTTCATAAATTTTGATCAAAATATATACTGCTACATTTCTTTGGTAAAAATAGCCCAAATCAGTGTATATTATTTTGTAGTGTTGACAGGTATAGAATCTACAAGCTATGGTCCATATCACTGAAAATTGGTCAATCCTGATGTACTGACTGCCCTACTTATTTCTTGAGGGCCTAACATGCCAGGATAGTACAAATACCTCTTTTTTTGGAAAGTACACAGTCCAAGGTATTTAGAAGGCAGCATGGTGAGTTTTTTTTAAGTTGTAATTTCTTTCCCACAATTCTTTGTAAAATGAAGAAAACGCCACTTTTTTTGAAAAAAAAAAAAAAGTTTTTAAAGTAACTTATTTCCCCACACACGGCATAGGCATACTTGCAATTACACCCCCGAAAAACACATTCTCCCAAGGGGATGCCACATGTGAGATTTTTCCACAGCCTAGCCACACAGAGGACCAATAAAACCAAGAAGCATCTTTGGGCTTTCAAGGAGCATAAATTACGCATCTAATTTCCTGACTACCTATCACATTTTTTCGTATTTTCATATTCTAAATCCTTAAGGTTTCTTGTCTGTTGCTTGGCAACTGAAAGTTTCAGCTCCCTCCATAAATTTTCTGTAGGATTAAGGTCTGGGCAGTGGCTAGGCCACTCCATGACCTTAATGTGCCTCTTCTTGATCCACTTTGTTGCCTTGGCGGTATATTTTGGGCAATTTGTGTGCTGGAAGACCCATCCACAACCCATCATCTGTGTTCTGGAGGAGAAAAGAAGGTTCTCATCCAAGATTTAACAATACATGGTCCCATCCAATGGTCCCTCAATGCGGCAAAGTTCACCTGTACCTTTAGCAGAGAAACAGCCCCAAATAATAATGTTCACACCTCTGTGCTTGACTGCAAGGATGGTGTTTTAAGGGTAGTCAGCACTTTTCTTCCTCCAAACATGGCGAGTTGAGTGAGCTAAATTTTTTCTCCCAATTCTCTTCTCTGAAGTTTGCCGATGAACATCTAAATAATTCAGACGGGCCTGTTCATGTGCCCTCTTGAGGAGGTGGACCATGTGGGTGCTGCAGAATTTCAATCCATGGCAGTGTATTGTGTTACCAATGGTTTGTTGGTGACTGTGGTTCCAACTGCTTTGAGATCATTCACAAGCTGCTCCCGTGTAGTTCTGGGCTGATACCTCACTTTTCTCATGATCATCCTTGCCTCATGAGACGAAATCTTGCATTTCTACCATTTGTGAATAATCGCTCCAACATTTGTCTCCTCCTCACCAAACTTTTTGCAGATGGTCTTGTAACCCATTCCAGCCTTATGCAGGTCTACAATCTTGTCCCTGACGTCCTTTGACAGCTCTTTGGTCTTGCCCATAATGATGGTCAAGGTTTGAATGTAAGAGAGATTCTGTGGACAGGTGTCTTTTAAACACATAACAAGTTGTCATTAGGAGCATCTTCTAAATTGACAGGACTAATCTGAATACCACATGAGCACAAAGCCAGTCTGTGGGAGCCAGAATTATTGTTGGTTGGTAGGGGATCAAATACTTATTTCACTCACTGAACTGCAACTCAATGTATAACATTTGTATCGTCTTTTTCTGGAATTTTGGTTGATAATCTGTCTATAACATTTAAAATACACCTATGATAAAAAAATTATAGACCCTTAATTTCTTTGTAAGTGGGCAAACTGTCAAAATCTACAGTATTTTCCCCACTGTATATGACCACAAGACTGCTGTCTGCAGAGCATGCACCATCCATAAATGAGGATGCTAACACACAATTTTATAATATTTTAATATGGTCTATGAAACTGCAAAGCAGTTAAAAAGAGGGTCCTAATTGTCAAACTAAATAGAAGCACTATTTCACTCTTGAGGTCTGATAGAAAGCCAGCTAAGCAACAGACTGTACAGCACCAACTGTCAAAACACCCTTAAGGACACACTTCCTCCAGGTGTGTTGGGCTGCAGTCTTTCCCAACACAGTCCCAATGCACAGACAAGGCAATCTGCCTTGCTCACAAGCAGGTCAGTTCACACAGCTTCACTGCAGCGGTGTGCACTGAACGTACTGGAAGCAGTACCTTTTTTCACTTCTCTTTTCAGAAAATAAGTTAGTGCGATGGGCTGTTTTTTTTTGTAGCACATCGGGTACTACTCCCAACACAAACCAGAGGCTGCATTTTTAAATGCGATATGTGAATTAAGGAGTAGTAACCTTTTGAAATACAACAGAATTTGCTGAAAACTGCTTTTTAGAGGACTAAAGCGAATGGGCTTTCAACAGCTTTTGGCAGATGCTGGTGAGCTAAGCCACTTAACTGACTTCTTCTTTAGAAACTTTGATAGCACAATATTTGATCATTAATGCCTTCCTCAGAAACCTACAGATTATATAGATTAAAAGGTGAACTTATTCTTCAATAAAGGGTGGATGAGGGATATAAATCTTTTTTTTTTTTTATATAAAAGTAGTACTAAAGGCTGAGACTTTTTACATGGATATAATCATTTTAAATATAATGCAGAATATTGGTAAACTTTTATTTTATATTTACATGTAATGCCCTATTCCCTCCGGTCTATCAGCCTCCAGCGTCCAACAACTACAAACTTCTCATGCTTGCCTACTCTGTAATGGTATTGCACAGAGCAGCCCTGATTCTCCTCTTCTGGGGTCCCCCACCGGAACTTCTAGGTCCTCCTGCCTTCAGAGTGCACCTACAGCAAGCTGCAAAGTATAGTATAAAGTGCCCCTATAGTAAGGTAAAAAAAACTTCTGCCTTTAGAATCACTCACTTCCTTCTCCTGCCAAAAACTACATGTCCCACGAAGCATTGCTTCTCAGACATTCACAAGTTCCCAGGCACTTTCTGATATGTATGGACAGTGCACTGAGCTGTATGTATGCTGCACTGCATATACTGACATGTATGGACAGTGTACTGAGCTGTATGTGTGCTGCACTGTATTTTCTGAAATATAAAAATGTAAACACCACATTTTGCATGCAGGTCAACTAATCAGCTGACCAACTAACCGATTATGAAAAATAGTTGACAACTATTTTCAATCGATTGTGTCGATTAGTTGTTTCAGCATTAATACACAGCAGCCAGAAATTAAAATTTACTAGCCTGGTTACAGTGAACAGCTGAAACTGAATTAAAACTTATACTAAATGAGTATCACCAATTCTTGGATCATGTTTTTAAATGGTAAATTTACTGAAAAGTGATAGCATGGTTATGTTTGATGTCTAGCACCCCCTGGAAATTTTGTATCTCTAGTAGACTCCAGCATTCAGTGCTTCCTGCCACAATTGCAAGCTCTGCCCCTCTGCACCCTACAAGCCATGCTAAAATGAGTATCCCCATAATACAAAAAATAAAAATCCAAGGCCCCTCTGTATTGCAGGGCAGATGTGCAGACCTAGGAAGTTGTAGAGATTTTGGCAACTGAGTGTCTGAAAGATAAATGGTAGTTGGGACATTTAACGTTCCAACGTCTATCAAAAAGTAAAGCTTTAATGTTTGATAGCTTAACCCTTTATAAATATTAGGTTGGAAAAAATGTCTTCTCTTATTTTTTTTAATCATTTGGAATGCTCTAAGGGCACACAGAATGCAGAAAAAAAAAAATACATACATTAAAAACTATGAAATATCAACATTTTACTCACATAAAATCCTAAAAGTAAGAGAATGTTATAAGTAAACATTGGTATCAGGTAGCATAGGAATTGGAAAGCACTGTATACAGGCCAACTGATACTCACTGTGTAGGATTCCACAAGCACTGTGGTCTCTAATGCCAACTTCTGCTCTTGTTCTATATTGTAACCAACATAGCAGAGCTTCTCCTTTATCATACGCACAGTCTCAAAATCTGCGGAGTGATTGAAGGCGTATCCACGCAACAAAAGCAACTGCAAGAAATTAAGCCCAGCTGTTAGGTGATCTAGTGTGCTAAAATATATTTCTGATATTCCTTTAAATTCCATTCCTTATGTGCAAAAAACAGACAATAAGAAAAAAGTAATTAAAATGGCTAAAGAAGAAAATTGCGTCTGTGCGAAAGTCAGAAAGTACCTGAATGGAGTTTAACATGTTTCTGCAGGACTATCAGAGTTCCTCATGTAAGAACAATTAAGATTATTAATCTGTACAACTTCCAAAAGGTCCATGTAAATGCAGTGGGGGTTAAAAAAAAAAAAAAGTCTGAATAATTTACATGAGTGTAATAAGCATCATTAGAATGAGGATTTCTAGGTCATTCATAATTAAACGAGGTATGAAAAACCACGACTAGTCTTCTGGATGGGAACAGCAAATAAACAGACTCTGGCTTATATGCTTCGCAGGCACTGGAGACAAGAGACCCAGCACCAGTCTGACAACTTTAGGTATAAACATGCATGTTTAGGTTACCTAAAAAACATCCTAACGCCTGCTTATTTAGAGGAAGCACCATCAAAAAGGGACATGGTTTTCTAACTTGCTCAGTTAAAACACATTTCGGCATTAATATATCCCTTCTGACCAGTCATGTACCTGGTACGTCACCGGTCTTTAACCACCTCCCATCCAGCCGTTGTATATAAACGGCCGGACGGTGGCAGTGCAGGGGCGGGTGGCCATTTATAAACCCTGGGAGCGCGCAGCACCGCGACCTGGTGCCCGCTGTGTCCCCTGGACACAGTGGAACACCGATCGTCGTACGGGACCTCTCTGCGAGGTCCCGATCATGTGATCACTGATTGGCCAATCAGTGATCACATGCAGATTAGTAAGCAAGATGTCACTTCTGACATCATTGCTCACTACGTGTGAAATCTGTGAATGATCACAGAGGTCACATGGTACAAGGCTATTCACAACAGCCTTGTACCACGTGACAAGCTGTGACCAATCACAGCTCACACAGTAGTTTTCAATAGCTGCAAGAATGCAGCCAGAGAGAAGGAGAAATTATTGCTTTTACAGCCTATATGGGTGTAAAAGCAATCAGTATAAAAAAAAAAAATAAATCTTCATCACCCCCTACAAGTAGTACAGTGTCACCATGGTACTGCTAGGGTGACAGTATGTAAAAAAAATAAAACAAATATAATAAAAATGTAGAAAAAAAAAAAAGTTTAAAAATTATAATTTTTGGTTATAAACTAATTTGGGTAATTTTTTTTTTACTAAAGATAACGGAATAAATTTTGGCCAAGATTTATTATGAAATATTATATTATTATTTCTAAATTTTATAAGAAACACTTTTTTTTCAAAATTTTTGGACTTTTTCATTTACATAGCAAAAAAAAATAAAAATCCCAGTGGTGAATAAATACCAACAAAACAAAATAAAGCTTTATCGGTCTCAAAAAATGCTAAAAAATTTCTATGGGTACAGTGTTGCATGACCGCGCAATTGTCAAAGTGTGATAGCGCTGAAAGCTGAAAATTGGCCTGGACAGAAAGGGGGTAAAAGTGTCCAGACTGGAAGTGGTTAAGTAGTTGTATCTGGATGATGCCTGTAGCTGCAGGCATCACCCTGGTACTGTTTTTTTTAGAGCCGGCAGTCGGCTGTCTTGCAAAAGCACAAGCAGCGGGAGGGGACCTGGTCCTTAAGTGGATATATGTACAATACTAGTTTTATTAACTATGAAATAGAGTTGCAGTAAAATTCTGAAAATTAAACTAGATTATCTATGTCACCAATTTGTAAAACATTTAGCAGTTTGTGAACATGAGAAAAAAAAAAAAAAAAAAAAAATGTAATTAAAATGAATTGCAAAATGGCTGACTGGACATAAAACGTGCCAGGAATATTTCATGCTACTAATAGTGCTTTTGTTTTCAGTTTTCACCACAAGATGGCACTGTCGAATCTATACTTCACCCAGCACTGTCAATGATCATTTACTAAGGCAAACATACCGAATTATTATTTTTATAATACAGGATTTATATTACATCAACAGATTGTACAGCAATTTACAACATGATGGCAGACAGCATAGTTCCAATACAATTCAATAAAAGGGGAATCACAGGGTCCTGCTCAGTAAAGCTTACAATCTGAAAGGGGGATCAAGTGATACAAAAGATAAATAACTGTGGGGGATGAGCTGATGGGAAAAAAAAAAAAAATAATAAAAGTACAGTTGTTAGGTGAAGGCAGGATAGGCTTCTCTAAAGAGAAGGGTTTCAGGGATCATCTAAAAGTGGACAGAATAAGAAATAGGGAGTTCCAGAGGATAGGAGATGCTTTGGAGAAGTCTTGGAGGTGAGTGTGGGAGGAGGTGGTGAGAGAGCTAGCAAGCAGGTTTTGGGAGGTACAAAGAATGTTTTAGTTGATCGTCGTGGATGGGTTAGAGGGATTGGCAGAGAGGGGTAGCAGACCCTGAATGGTTGGGTAAGGGGGATTAGTCTGGCAGCAGATTTCATGGACTGAAGTTGCAGTGGTCAAGGTAAGAGCTAACCAAGGCGTGAATTAGAAGCTTTGTGGTGTCATTGGTTAGGAAAGGGCATATTTTGTAGATGCGGCACAGATCGAGGCGACAAGATTTGGACAGTGATTGGATGTGGGGCTAAGGAGAGTTTGAGGATTACACCTAGCACCATGGCATGAGAGAACGGATTGACAGTTGTGCCTTCTATCTTTACAAAGAAGTCAGAAGAAGGAGCAAGTGAGATTAAATATTATGAGCTCGGTTTTGGATAGATTGAGTTTGAGGAAGTGGTGCAACATCCAAACTGATATGTCGGTCAGTAAATTAATGATGCGTGAAGAGACTGATGGAGTGAGTTGAGGGGTAGAAAGATAGACTTGGGTGCCATCAGCATAGAATTGGCACTGAAAGCCATAAGATGCTATTAATTGACCTATGTAGGAGGTGTAGATCGATAATAAGGAGGCTCAAGAACTGAACCTTGGGGGACCCCAATGGAATAAAGTGTAAGTGATGCTGAAGGTGCGGTGGCATAGGTAAGATGAGAACCAACAAACATTACAGTCACAAAAAGGGGAGTTTTTTTTTTTTTTTTTAATTTGAGGACGTGGTCAACTGAATCAAAAGCTGCAGAAAGGTCCAAGAGTAAGAGTATAGAATAGAGACCATTGATTATGACAGTCTAAGTTTAAGGAGAGAAGTTACTGTGGAGTATTGCAGGTGAAATCCAGACTGAAGGGGATCAAGGTGGTTATTCTTAGTCAGGTGGTAGCGCAGGTGGTTCTAGACAAGGCATTTGTCAATACCTATGGTAGCAAGCTCTATAGAACCACAGCTTGGGGTTCCTCAGGGCGCGGAATCTAAGTCCCAGCCTGCTTGTTCACCAGGGCCCCTGATGGTGGGGATGGACATGCAGCAGGCTGGGACCAGGTCGCGGTCCCCAGGGACACCCAGTTGAGGTGGAGGAGACCACTAACGGGAGCAGGGTGCAAGGGAGAAGACACAGGGAATCCAATGAGCAAGCCGAAGTCAGGACAGGCGGAAAATTAGCAAGGTCAGGAACGAAGCCGGGGTCGGTACACAGATAGACAACACAGTATTTAGCCGCAGAAACACACGGAAGCACCAACACGAAGTTGCTCAGGCAAAGTGGGACAGACTGAGCATGTCTTAAATAGACAAGCCAGCTAGGAGGCGGCCCGGGAAGTGATGAAAGGGAAGGACATAAAACCCAGGGAATCGCAGACAATGCCCACAGGTGAGTACAGACAAACACACATGTGAATGAATCAAGAGCAGCAAGGAGGTAAGAATAAACACACAAGAGGCTGCAAGCTAACTTGTGACAGCATTCAAGGAGTTTGGAGGTAAAGGGGAGCAAAAAGATGGGGCGTAGGTTTCTTAAGATTGGTGGGATCCAGTAAGGGCTTTTTACCTATGAGGATGACCAGAGTATGTTTTAGGGAGTCGGAGAAGATGCCAGAAGAGAGGGAGAGATTAAAAATGTAAGTTAGAGAGCGTAGGATAGAGCCGGAGGGTGACCATAGTATTTTTGAGGGAACTGGGTCCAGGGGGCAAGTGGTTGGGTGGGTATTAGAAAAAAAGGTTTAGCAACCTCGTCTATAATAGCTGGGTATTAAGTGTTCCTGTGGACCTGGAATGTTAAGTGGGGGAGATATCTGTACAGTGGAGATGTCATCAAAAAATGTATCAATCTTTTTTTTTTTTTTTTTTTTAAACCGATTGGCGATCTCCTGGGCAGTGAGTAAGTAGGAGAACCAAGTAGAGCGTTACAAAGGCACAAAAGAATTGACAGCAATTGGATGAGAGGGTGTTGATGAGAGTGATAAAATAGGTCTGTTTGTCAATGTGGAGGAAGGGATTTTTTTTTTTTTGGAGGGCAGATTTCTACTTGTTAAAGTCTTGCTGAGACTTAGTCTTACACCACAGATGCTCAAGAGTGCGGGTATGCTTGAGACTGCTGGTGTTGTGTTTGCCAGGTTGAAGCAGTCAGGGCCTGATTCTGTGTGTAGTGAGGAGGGAGAGTGTGTCCAGTGAACAGGAGTGTCTACGTTGGGGGAAGGACAGGGGTGATATTTTGTCATAAAAGGTGGCTAATAGCAGAATAGAGAAGAGAAGGGTTAATGTGCCAAAGATTATTACTATAGGTACTTATATAGCACGATCAATTTACGCAGGACTTTACAGATATTGTACATTCGCATTAGTTCCTAACCCTCAACGAGTGTACAATCTAAGGTCCCTAATTCGCATACATACATAGTGCCAACTTAGACAGGAGCCACCAGGATGTCTTTGGAGTGTGGGAGGAAACCAGAGTACCCAGGGGAAACCCACACAGGCACAGGGAGAACATGCAAACTCCAGGCAGGTAGTGCCGTGGTTGACATTCAAACCAATGACCCTAGTACTGCCGGGCAAAAGTGCTAACCACTTAGCCACTGTGCTGTGATTGGAGAGAG